TTAACCTATCTCAATTACCCCCAACAAATGTGCTAATGCAAAACCATGCACCCATCTTATCACTAGCTTAAGGCTTCATGCTACAAATATGCAGGTTTCTTAAACCACACTTAATTTTGTAAAGGTATCAAATACTTTCTTAACCACAATGCTGTTTTAAATATTGCATTGTTCCTTAGATAAATTTCAATGAATTATGAAACAAGTCTCCAGACTTTTACAGTATCTGTATACAGGGGTGTGTCCAGACTAACAAGTCTCAGACTTATTACAGTATCTGTATACAGGGGTGTGTCCAGACTAACAAGTCTCAGACTTATTACAGTATCTGTATACAGGGGTATGTCCAGACTAACAAGTCTCAGACTTATTACAGTATCTGTATACAGGGGTGTGTCCAGACTAACAAGTCTCAGACTTATTACAGTATCTGTATACAGGGGTGTGTCCAGACTAACAAGTCTCAGACTTATTACAGTATCTGTATACAGGGGTGTGTCCAGACTAACAAGTCTCAGACTTATTACAGTATCTGTATACAGGGGTGTGTCCAGACTAACAAGTCTCAAACTTATTACAGTATCTGTATACAAGGGTGTGTCCAGACTAACAAGTCTCAGACTTATTACAGTATCTGTATACAAGGGTGTGTCCAGACTAACAAGTCTTAAACTTATTACAGTATCTGTATACAGGGGTGTGTCCAGACTAACAAGTCTCAGACTTATTACAGTATCTGTATACAGGGGTGTGTCCAGACTAACAAGTCTCAGACTTATTACAGTATCTGTATACAGGGGTGTGTCCAGACTAACAAGTCTCAGACTTATTACAGTATCTCAATGATTTTTTTAAGAATGAACACTAGTATTCAAAGCTAGGGATTCCAGGCTTATGAACGATCTAGTGTATATATCTAAGTGTGAACAAGGGTGTGTTGAAATAACCTGATACTGAGCTATGTGCATACAACAACCTCCACTCCTTAAAATATGACTAATGAATAGCTTTTGAAACTTAACTATCAAATGTTAAAAAGTAAGCATTTTAATACCTGCCTCTGATCAAAAGCAAGCATTTTTAATGATTGAAATTGTTGAAACAAGTAGCCTTAATATAAAGTACATCGATTTAACCTTCCCTCAGTCATCACATGTGGTTGGTTATGCCTCTATAATGTGTGTATCCGACAGTGTTCAAATGATTTGTCAGCTTTACCTCTACGTAATGAAAGTGTGTCTGTAATAGAACTAAGATATCAATACTTGTTGAGATGTTGTGCTGAGGCGTATTTATATGTATACATAAACACAGACTCTGGCATTCTGTATACAGAAATATCAAAAATAGAAAAAATGCCAACCAATTATGAGGTGTAATCCTCTGCCATTTTACTATACAGACCAGGTCACTATTGAAAGCTCCTCCATCATCAGATGTAGTTTGTATTACTGGTTATTTTTACATAACAGTAATTTTTCATTTCCAACAGGTGGGGTACATTCCTTTAGTGAATATATGAACATCAAAAAATGAAAGGAAAATCCTCCTTCCCATGAAGATTGAAACAACTGAGCTTCGTTGTTAATGTTACATCATCATAAAGTATCTTGCCTTTGGCAACAAAGTCTTGCAAAGTTTGCAGAAAAACTATGATATAGCAGTCAGTAAAACCATTTCCATAATTTGTCCTTTAACCTCCTTAGAAACACACAAAAAAAAATTGAAAAGTGTGGAGTATATAAACACTTAAGTGACCTAGACCTCAACAACTTGGGACAAAAGCTTTTTGATATGAATCAACATCCCTGTATCACCTCTGTAAGTCCACTATGACAGGACAAATTATCAATAAGATCTTTTACATGGTAATGTCACAAGTTGTTAAAATTAATTACACAAGATATTTTGACTTCCAGGGTAAAATCTGATGTAGAGGATATTCACTGTTGAAGAGTTGCACTCTGGAGTGTAATAATGATATAAACATGTACTGTTAGAGGTTGATATTATATCCTAATGTTAGATTACATTTGAGAAGAAGAAATACAGATATGAGACATCATTATGTTACTTACACTGACATAGGTCATAACAGTTAGATTTATATAATTATCCATTAGGATGTCACAGAACCAAATATAATTCTTCCATGTGAAACATTGTTTATAAGATAATATGTGATTAATTAGTGTCTTTATATCTTTACAACTAGCAGGGGGGAGGGAGAAGGAAATTGATCAGCTACTAGTTAGCAGTGCCTCTATCATCACCGTAAGACAACTGAGACTTCTGCCCGAGGATATCTTGCTTTATTTACCTGTGTTTATGTTGAACTACATCAATTACTCCCAATTGTAGCCATACCTTCAGGCCTTTCCGGTACATTTATTTCTTAATTTCTATTACACCATTTTTTTTGGAACATAGATATGTGTAGAGAAGTTGAAAAGTGGTAGAGAAAGAGAAATTGTACACATTATGTTAATACAAATGGAATGTAGGTTAGTCAAAATACCGACAAAATTATGTTTATAGAGCTTCAAAGAACTGAAAGACTGAAACACAATCAATGTATGTAATAAGGAAGAATATCTACCATTAATGATACTATTTTCATAAAACAGGCAGTTTGCTGACAACAAATTTGTAATCATTGTTAAAGGGAACTAACTCTTACTTTATAGTGTTATCCCTGCCCTTCAAAATGCTTTCCAAAATGTATTATCAGATTTTTTTGGGTCAAAATTTATTTTTATTTCTCCTGAAAAACAAAATAAACCTGCCCACAAATACCAATTTTTACTTCACATAATTTTGAATAAGTTCAACAAAAATGCATGCATGTAAGTCATCACATTAAATATGTAAAACATTTAAAATAAACAAAGATTAAAACATTTAAAACAAACAATTAAGATATAAACATAAATGATAACACAACATGTAATAAAAGGTTAATACTAGTATATAACACAATCTAACCCAAACTAAAGGTTTAGTGATGTGAGTCTCTCCACACCGCAGGTCTCAGCTAACTCACTAATACAAGCATGTCCTTATACCAGTATTACTACAGATTATGCTAAAGCAGGAGAGAAAGTATAGATCTCTACACCTTTACCACTTCCCCAACCAGGTCTTCCCATCACAGGAAAGGCTTTTTTTAAATAGATCTAGTTAGTAAACGAGGCGAGGAATCACATTATACAACATATACATATACCATGTCAAGCTAACATATTTCTTCAAGTCGTTCTCAACAACCATCATTTAACTTTAGAAACAATTCATGTCTGCAAGAAAGATGAGCCTTATCAAAAAGGTAAATATTGTGCAATAATTTTGTATTTCGTGTATAATATCACAAAATGTACCATTGCTTTGAAAAAAAGTGATACCAGTTTCGCTGTATCACACAGAACTTTTCGTCTCTGCTTATTGCCATTATTTACTACATATATTCAGAAACTTAAAGAAAGATGAATGTTTGTTCCGACTTGAACAAATATTGACTGATTAGTACAACAGTTAAACTACAACACAGACAAGCCATGGATCTCAACAGACAATAAATATTTAAAACATTAGCAAAATATATATAAGAAATAATTTGATTTGTATCCCTTTACACTAGATTTCAGATTTATCATTTTTCCATTCTATTCTTATATTCTGTAAGAACACATTATTGATATATGTATATATCATAACAGATGTAATCAAAGGGAGATAAGCCTTGTGATAATGAGAAAATGAAGCATCACATAAAATGAAAAAATAGATAAAAACATAAAACCTCAGATAAACTGAGGGAGAAAAAATGGAAGTATGTCTTCTCTACAGATAACAAACCTTCTTGATTTCAGGGGCAGGTGAGTTTCCATTTTCAACTGAGTCCTAGAACAAGATATTGAAATAAAGACATGTATGGAAATTAGAATTTATATGGGTAAACCATATACTGCTGTAAAAGTAGGCATTTGATGAGCAGGTCAGCATCAGCACCTGAAATATCAGAACACTGCAGGCAAGCTACAAACAAAAACAGGAAGCTCTGCATACTTAACACATGCTGTTATATCATAATATCCTTAATTCTGATTGTTTATAGAACATATTTGGTCAGACTTCATATACAAACATCTTGTCTTCTAATAATGTAAGAATGATTAGAAATAACAGTTAAAGATTGATTGACAATTATATATCACAGCCATGTCAACAGCCTGTAAACTTGATATTTTTTCAAACTTTGTAACAAAAGGCAATCCCAGTTTTTCATTTATCTTTTTTCAATTTTCGTGTTCGATTTTCCTTGTTTTAGAAGATTAAGAAAAACCAATTAATCCTGTCCTAATAAAAAGCAATGTGTAAAATTAAATTCTAACCAACAATATGAATTGTTGTGATAGATATGAAAATCCTTTTAAATACCATCTGTTTACCAAGTTACCTGTATTGCCAAATATAGAGTTTCTCTGAATACATCTTTAGTATAAACACAGCAAACACACAATAGAACAGTGATTCATTACATTTATCAACTCAACATGCCTCTGTGACTTAACTGTAATACAAATATCTGCTTTGATAATGAATAATGATAACCAAAAAATACAAGACTGCATCTCATTTTCACACAAACAAATGAAAAAGAGATCAAACATCCCATTTTCTTCACTACAGAAACATCTGAAACGTTTCTGAAGCAGATAGATGTAGAAATTCACATGAAACATTCAATCTTCACTGTGTAATTATGTAAACAGTTCCCTTGATACATATAAGAAGCTATGAAGTAGAACTGATGTCAAGGTAAAAGTTGAAATTGAATTCATTACAACAACTTCATTACATAGAAATGTAAAAACTGCATCTTCATTATCTAATATTCTTAATTTGGATTGAACACATAACACACTGTGAAGAAAGAATGAAAAACATTGAATACGCAAAGACACACTGACAACCAAAAGAATTCTGAAGCAGTGACTTACTTTTCTGGAGATAGGTTTGGGAGTTTCCTGTGCCTCCTTGGCCTGACTCTGTATCGAATTAAACCTCTGTAGTAGCGCCCTGGTGGTGTCTTTGGCAGGAAGTCCTGCTTCGTAGTCGGTGTCAGCCTCCCGGAAGATGCCTTCCTTTTGTTCTGGCGTGTTTTCATAGATGCCTGCGGATACCTGCTCCTGATACTGACCAGGCAGATCATTAGGGTTCACACTGCTGTTCAGACCTGCAGGGGACTTTGGACTCATCAGGTTGTCTCTAGGGGGCGTGAATTCTTTGTATTTTGGAGATGGTGATGATTTGGCACTCTCTGTTTCCATCTGCTTCCATCGATTGACCATGTTCTTGGCATATCCTTGTTCGGGAACAGTTTCTTCAGCTTGTACATGTTCTTTAGCAACATCTTCTCTGTGTACTGGCGAGCTCTCCAGAATACCACTTTCAGCCTGTCTAACATCTATTTCTAGAGAAGGGGCAGGTTTGTTCTCAAATACGCCTGAAGCATGGTCTGGGGGTGGTGTGAATTCCTTCTTGTTACGGGGACTTGTTGGTGAATTTGCTTGAATCTCCTTAAATCTGTTGAGTACGTTTTTCGCCATACCTCTCTCAGGTAATTCATCTTCTTTAAATCGTGAATCACTTTCTCTGGCTATATCCAAGGATTCGGGTTGGTTTTCCAAGACTCCTGCTACAGTCTGGTTAGTATCTTCTCGAGGTGGAGTGAACTCCTTGTGTCGTTGAGGAGTACCAGTTGGCGAGGAGCCACCAGATTTTTCCAATTCTTTGAACCTAGCAGCAACATTTTTGGCATATCCTTCTTCTGGCAGTAGTTCAGGCTGGAAGTCTCCAGATTTTACAATTTCTGGTTGGTCAACTGGACTACTTTCAAAAATTCCTGCCTCTGATTTCCCTTCATAGACTTCAATCTGTCCCCTAGGTTCACTCACATATTCCACCTTTCCTGAGCGGTCTGGTGTGAGCTCTTTCTTTTGTCGGGGTGAGGGAGGAGAAGATGATTCAGACTGGTATTGTTTGAATTTAGAAACCAAATTGACTGCTGTGCCCTTTTCAGGAAGAACTTCTTGTATGGAATTTCCAGACTTGACTATATCCTCGACTTCCTCGGGATGACTTTCAAATTCTCCAGACTCAACCTTTCCTTGATATTGTTGGAATTGTGTCCTTGGTTCGCTCACATATTCTCCCTTCGTGTTTCTGTCTGGGGTCAATTCCCTTTGTCCTGGAGAAGGTGGTGGTCTATTGCCAACTTCATTTTCAATCTTTTTAAATTTAGCCAATAAATTTTTAGCAGAACCCTGCTCTGGAAGAGCTTCTTCTAAGTGATCTGTAGAACGAACAATATCTTCTGGCTCTGTTGGCTGACTCTCAAAAACACCAGCTTCCACCACTTCTTTCGGCTTCTCCATGACTGACCTCGGCTCACTGACATATTCGTACTTCACAGATTTGTCTGGGGTCGGTTCCTTCTTTTTTTCAGGAGTATATCCATCTTCTTGTATTTTTTTGAATTTTTCCAGGACATTCTTTGCCATACCGACCTCTGGAAGTTCCTCTCCAACATTCTTTTGGCTTTCCTTAAAGACATCCGGATTTTCTTGGGGCTGGTTCTCATAGACTCCACCTTCAGTCTGGTTTTGCCACTGTTCAAACTTTTCTGGCTCATTTTCGAACTCACCACTCTGGACATTTAGAATTTCTTCATGGACATTAACCTTTCCAGAAGAAGTTATCACTTGATTGTCTCCAGCCTCAAATTTGTTCTTTATGTCGGCCATATCATCAAAACGAATCTAAAAATTGAAACACAAAAACATTTATGAAGTCAATATCTCTAATATTTCGTTGAACTGTTTAAAAATCAAAAGTTAAATGTTTTGATTAACAGAACCAGAACTATTTCGTGTTAAATGTTTTGACAGACCAGAATCAGAAACTATTTACAGTGAAATGTTTTGACTGACTAGAATCAGAAACTATTTACAGAGAAATGTTTTGACTGACCAGAATCAGAGACTATTTACAGTGAAATGTTTTGACTGACCAGAATCAGAAACTATTTACAGTGAAATGTTTTGACTGACCAGAATCAGAAACTATTTACAGTGAAATGTTTTGACTGACCAGAATCAGAAACTATTTATAGTGAAATGTTTTGACTGACCAGAATCAGAAACTATTTACAGAGAAATGTTTTGACTGATCAGAATCAGAAACTATTTACAGTGAAATGTTTTGACCAGAATCAGAAACTATTTACAGTGAAATGTTTTGACTGACCAGAATCAGAAACTATTTACAGTGAAATGTTTTGACTGACCAGAATCAGAAACTATTTATAGTGAAATGTTTTGACTGACCAGAATCAGAAACTATTTACAGAGAAATGTTTTGACTGACCAGAATCAGAAACTATTTACAGTGAAATGTTTTGACCAGAATCAGAAACTATTTACAGTGAAATGTTTTGACTGACCAGAATCAGAAACTATTTACAGTGAAATGTTTTGACTAACCAGAATCAGAAACTATTTACAGTGAAATGTTTTGACTGATCAGAATCAGAAACTATTTACAGTGAAATGTTTTGACTGACCAGAATGAGAGACTATTTACAGTGAAATGTTTTGACTGACCAGAATCAGAAACTATTTACAGTGAAATGTTTTGACTGACCAGAATCAGAGACTATTTACAGTGAAATGTTTTGACTGACCAGAATCAGAAACTATTTACAGTGAAATGTTTTGACTGACCAGAATCAGAAACTATTTACAGTGAAATGTTTTGACTGACCAGAATCAGAAACTATTTACAGTGAAATGTTTTGACTGACCAGAATCAGAGAGTATTTACAGTGAAATGTTTTGACCAGAATCAGAGACTATTTACAGTGAAATGTTTTGACTGACCAGAATCAGAAACTATTTACAGTGAAATGTTTTGACTGACCAGAATCAGAAACTATTTACAGTGAAATGTTTTGACTGACCAGAATCAGAAACTATTTACAGTGAAATGTTTTGACCAGAATCAGAGACTATTTACAGTGAAATGTTTTGACCAGAATGAGAGACTATTTACAGTGAAATGTTTTGACTGATCAGAATCAGAAACTATTTACAGTGAAATGTTTTGACTGATCAGAATCAGAAACTATTTACAGTGAAATGTTTTGACTGACCAGAATCAGAGAGTATTTACAGTGAAATGTTTTGACTGACCAGAATCAGAAACTATTTACAGTGAAATGTTTTGACCAAAATGAGAGACTATTTACAGTGAAATGTTTTGACTGACCAGAATCAGAAACTATTTACAGTGAAATGTTTTGACTGACCAGAATCAGAAACTATTTACAGTGAAATGTTTTGACTGACCAGAATCAGAAACTATTTACAGTGAAATGTTTTGACTGACCAGAATCAGAAACTATTTACAATGAAATGTTTTGACTGACCAGAATCAGAGACTATTTACAGTGAAATGTTTTGACTGACCAGAATCAGAAACTATTTACAGTGAAATGTTTTGACTGACCAGAATCAGAAACTATTTACAGTGAAATGTTTTGACTGACCAGAATCAGAGACTATTTACAGTGAAATGTTTTGACCAGAATCAGAGACTATTTACAGTGAAATGTTTTGACTGACCAGAATCAGAAACTATTTACAGTGAAATGTTTTGACTGACCAGAATCAGAGACTATTTACAGTGAAATGTTTTGACTGACCAGAATCAGAAACTATTTACAGTGAAATGTTTTGACTGACCAGAATCAGAGACTATTTACAGTGAAATGTTTTGACTGACCAGAATCAGAAACTATTTACAGTGAAATGTTTTGACTGACCAGAATCAGAGACTATTTACAGTGAAATGTTTTGACTGACCAGAATCAGAAACTATTTACAGTGAAATATTTTGACTGACCAGAATCAGAGACTATTTACAGTGAAATGTTTTGACTGACCAGAATCAGAGACTATTTACAGTGAAATATTTTGACTGACCAGAATCAGAAACTATTTACAGTGAAATGTTTTGACTGATCAGAATCAGAAACTATTTACAGTGAAATGTTTTGACCAGAATCAGAAACTATTTACAGTGAAATGTTTTGACTGACCAGAATCAGAAACTATTTACAGAGAAATGTTTTGACTGACCAGAATCAGAAACTATTTACAGTGAAATGTTTTGACTGATCAGAATCAGAAACTATTTACAATGAAATGTTTTGACCAGAATCAGAAACTATTTACAGTGAAATGTTTTGACTGACCAGAATCAGAAACTATTTACAGTGAAATGTTTTGACTGACCAGAATCAGAAACTATTTACAGTGAAATGTTTTGACTGACCAGAATCAGAAACTATTTACAGTGAAATGTTTTGACCAGAATCAGAAACTATTTACAGTGAAATGTTTTGACTGACCAGTATCAGACACTATTTACAGTGAAATGTTTTGAATGACCAGAATTGATCTATTTACAGTGAAATGTTTGAAGATTTTCAGGGTCCTCTGACACAGACATGTCCATTTTTACATCCCCTACCTTCTCCAAGAAACACCAGCAGGTCTTCACTATCTTTGCTCCTTCCCTACTTCATTTCCAGACAAGATATTTTCTTTTTTTCAAATCTTTTATACATGGTATTGCTTTTTAATCTTTTCAAAATGATGTTGAAATAATTCATAAGTTTTGATAAAGTATTAAAAAGTCCATAAAGCAATAAAATCTGGGTTACCTCCTCTTGGTTTTCCTTAGCATCATTGAGGCCATTTTCTACCACCTCACTGTAAAAATGAAACAGAATCTCATCATTGAAGAATGCAGTAACTTTCTTATTACTGAAAAGTGCAGGTTTACCAAATTAATGTCAGTCTGACATAATACACAACAGAACCTGAATAACACGTGTGTACCTTGTGATACATAAAATCTTCTGTCTGACTTTGATCTAAAGGGGAATAGCTGTACCCATGGAACCAGACTGTCTTAACATTCAGAAGGAAAGTTAGTGATCTTTTTTATGTTAATTATAAGACACCAATTTTTCCTATTTTATAATATTTTGTGCCGATTCAGAAAATACAGTGTTTCAAGTGGTTGTGGAGCCTCAGTATACTTAGCAATGTCTAACATCCAACTCAAGATACTTAACAAGTATTAAGGCAGTCACCACACATGCTAAAACGACAAGCATTTGATCTTGAGGCAATCTAAGGGAAATAACTCTAGTGCCCTATCAATAGGTTGCTGCACCTCTAATGTGTATATAAATATACAATTCACCTCTATCAATAGGTGGTAGTACTGTATGATTAATGAGAAACACATGTTCCAGGTCTCCTTAACCATAACCTACACCTACTTCTAATGCTACAGCTCATACACAAATAGATTACTCAGTGAAGTCTGCAGCGACTGACATGCATTCATTCATAGAACTCATTGCTAACACTGCAAACTTCCATTAAGATGTTGTATTTCCGATAAACTCATTATTTGTCATAATATCCAGTGACATCACAATGACAGGAAGTGACATCATTAATACCTTACAACACATAACCAGGAAATGACATCATACAGAGTTACAATAGAGTAAAAATGAATTCTTACCTGCTGGATTTGGAAGTTGTGGTGACAGCTGGTCCGGAATCTTCTGTAAATACACAAAACAAACAACAAATAAGTCAGTGATTCAGACTATTTCACACAAAATGTATATTCATGTACAGAAAAAGAAAAAGATTTTGAAGGCATACAAAAAAATTGGAGAAATTAATAATTAATTAATTTCGGAATAATACATTGAAAAAATATTGTTTCTTAACAGAGATGTTTATTAGAAACAGGGCTTCTTTTCAAATGTCGGCTGAATGCAGGACAAGCTTATATTACAATACTCTGTGGTCTATTCAATACATCTAAAAAGCAAATACAAGAAATCAGCATCCAAGCACTGCGATACCATAAACTTTCTAATACTTCAATGATTTTTTGGTCAATTTTTCAAAAAAATGCTTCTTTCAACATTTACTTATATATAAGTTCATATACAGCAAACTAAACCTTTGGTAAAACATTAAGATAACTGACATAAACAGGTGAGAATTATAAAACTTCTTTAATGTTGGCAATACAATTTAAAGTGTATCATCAAATTTGTCAATATTTGAGACATATGTTTGTCCATTTGTAAATCAATGGTCAAGATTTAGCTAGCATAATTCACTAGTATAATAATCCTGTTCTGGCGAGGAAAAAAACCTGCAATACCTCAAAACATTTATGTGGACAACATTCTGGCATACCTTGGACTAGATATTAAGAAAATGTTATGCGTTAGACATAATGCTGATAAAGACACCTGGTTTTACCCAGGGGAAAAACAGGTACATGTGAGGCACATTTTTTGATGTACTTAAGGAATTGTTTTGTTACATACAATTTGGTACCTCTTCAAGCTTCTCTAGAGATGTATAGTATAACTTCCTGTTGTTCCTCAAACTTTGAAAATATCTAAAGCTCAAACATAAAAAGCCTTTTCAACTTTAAAAGACCAGACAATGTTTTGGAAAAGTTAAAGAAAATTTTGTTCTTCATCTATAACACTTTTTAAACGATGGCCTATATACTTGAAGATAAGATTCATATGATCTACAAGCCAGCCATTTCTACTGTATCAGAAACCTGTGAAGTTAGGTATGGTAATAGTCACACAACATCAGGGTTTATCTGACCTAAAATCAAAGAATTTGTACGATGAAAGGTATTCCTCCTCAGGTTAATGGTTAAATACACAGAAAACGATCACCTTGATGGTATATGATATATACCTTAATGGATAATTTTTAATAAATGGTTATCAATAGCAAGACTGTTGTAACAAGAAATGTAAAATAAATACTAACTCATACACCTTGTGGTAGTCCTACATTTACTGAAATAATATTTCACACACGTATAATTATCATAATTACCTGGGTTTATAGAGGGACATGGTTACTAGTGTTTATAGAGGGACATGGTTACTAGTGTTTATAGAGGGACATGGTTACTAGTGTTTATAGAGGGACATGATAACCTCTGTTCATAGAGGGACATGGTTACTAGTGTTTATAGAGGGACATGATAACCTCTGTTCATAGAGGGACATGGTTACTAGTGTTTATAGAGGGACATGATAACCTCTCTTCATAGAGGGACATGGTTACTAGTGTTTATAGAGGGACATGATAACCTCTGTTCATAGAGGGACATGGTTACTAGTGTTTATAGAGGGACATGATAACCTCTGTTCATAGAGGGACATGGTTACTAGTGTTTATAGAGGGACATGGTTACTAGTGTTTATAGAGGGACATGGTTACTAGTGTTTATAGAGGGACATGGTTACTAGTGTTTATAGAGGGACATGATAACCTCTGTTCATAGAGGGACATGGTTACTAGTGTTTATAGAGGGACATGATAACCTCTGTTCATAGAGGGACATGGTTACTAGTGTTTATAGAGGGACATGATAACCTCTCTTCATAGAGGGACATGGTTACTAGTGTTTATAGAGGGACATGATAACCTCTGTTCATAGAGGGACATGGTTACTAGTGTTTATAGAGGGACATGATAACCTCTGTTCATAGAGGGACATGGTTACTAGTGTTTATAGAGGGACATGGTTACTAGTGTTTATAGAGGGACATGGTTACTAGTGTTTATAGAGGGACATGGTTACTAGTCTTTATAGAGGGACATGATAACCTCTGTTCATAGAGGGACATGGTTACTAGTGTTTATAGAGGGACATGATAACCTCTGTTCATAGAGGGACATGGTTACTAGTGTTTATAGAAGGACATGATAACCTCTGTATAGAGGGACATGGTTACTAGTGTTTATAGGGACATGATAACCTCTTTCATAGAGGGACATGGTTACTAGTGTTTATAGAGGGACATGATAACCTCTGTTCATAGAGGGACATGGTTACTAGTGTTTATAGAGGGACATGATAACCTCTGTTCATAGAGGGACATGGTTACTAGTGTTTATAGAGGGACATGGTTACTAGTGTTTATAGAGGGACATGGTTACTAGTGTTTATAGAGGGACATGGTTACTAGTGTTTATAGAGGGACATGGTTACTAGTGTTTATAGAGGGACATGGTTACTAGTGTTTATAGAAGGACATGGTTACTAGTGTTTATAGAGGGACATGGTTACTAGTGTTTATAGAGGGACATGGTTACTAGTGTTTATAGAGGGACATGGTTACTAGTGTTTATAGAGGGACATGGTTACTAGTCTTTATAGAAGGACATGAGTACTTATGTTTATAGAGGGACATGATTAACTGTGTTTATAGAGAGACATGATTACCTGTGTATATAGAGGGACATGATTACCTCTGTTTATAGAGGGACATAATTACCTGGGTTTATAGAGGGACAAGATTACCAGTGTTTACAGCGGATGTGATTACCTGATCACAGAGGGACATAATTACCTGTCTTTATAGAGAGACATAATTACCTGTCTTTATTGAGAGACATGACTACCTGTGTTAATAGGTGGAAATGACTACCTGTGTTAATAGGTGGACATGATTACCTATGTTTATAGAAAACATGACTACCTGTGTTCATAGAGAGACATGTTAACTTGTGTTTATAGAGAGACAAGATAACTTGTGTTTATAGAGGGACTTAATTACCTGTGTTTATAGAGGGACATGAAAACCTATGTTTACAGCTGATGTGATTACCTGATCATAGAGGGACATAATTACCTGTGTTTATAGAAGACATAATTACCTGTGGTTATAGATGATATTATTACCTGTGTTAATATTATATGCAAAGTCACTTTGTCTCCTATGAAACTTTAGTTGCTGAGCATAGCTTTGATACCAGGACCTTCCTTGACTGGTATCTGCCATGATGTTCCAAAAGTATTCCCAATATTCCTTTACAATGTTTGTGGTTATTCCCTCAAAATAATGATGATAATAAAACACTGAATCCTTTCCTTCATCAAAGTATTGATTTTAAAACTGTTCATTCATCACACTTCAAATAAACCCTGATTATCATAATCTTCAGTAAATAACAATTGCCCAAGTACCATAGAATACAGATCCACTTCAGCAGTAAATCCAGATTTTATACACAAGTGAAGATTTTACTGACACCTGAAATCACTACAACCCATGCTGAAAATAATCATGTTCCTTCCAGAATTCATCACAGCACCAAGCATCCAATCAGGATAAAATTTCAGAAAGTTGTTTTCAAAGATAAGGAATCACTTCTTTAGTCAAATAATCCATACCATCCTTTGTATGTAAACATTCCTATTTTTCTAAAACACTATATCTTTTGTTTGTTTTGTTTTGTTCAAAACATGAGTCAATATTTCTCCAAAAGTTACAATTTTGCAACTATACAGATAATGTTGAAAAAAAGATTACCACAAAATAATCTTACAAAATTTACAAGAAAAAATGACTGATCCCTTACACCAATGTCCACATGTATCTTTGACTAAGATGTAGGAAAACATTCTGATACAACCCCAGTTGTGTGTTGTGAGAAGACCCCATTAGTTTTGTATCAAAGCTTGGGATTGGTTGATTATCTGATGATTAAGATGGCTCCCCCTACTGACACAGCACCCATCAGCTGTGCCTTGTCTTGTACCCTCACAGATCAAGAATTCTTCCCTCTGATAATTCCTTTAGTCAAGCATTTTTTTCAAAAATATTCAAATTAAGGCAATCACTTGTGAAGAGTTAGGTTGTTGGCGGGATGCCGTTCTTTATCACATTATTATTTTCTAACACATTTTATATACATAGTTCGGGTAACAGAGTTCAGTATTTTCAGTAATGTGTTCACATATTTACTTTCAAACTCTTCATTAAAGATTTTTCCTTCTTCACACCAATGTAGTACAACAATCAAGATATATCCACAATGAAGATGTCACTTTATGATATACAACAACAATCAGTAAAGCCCCATCAAATATGTATGCACAAAAACAATTTTCATAAATCACATAATTTCAAACTTCTTGTAACCTTCAAAAACAAGAACATGAAATGACAAAGGAATCGATGACAAAAAAGGTTAAAAACATGTTAAAAAATGTGCGACAAAGCCAACAGACCTAAGGTTTGGAACTCTCCTGTGTCCGCACTGAGCTGTAAGTAATTTGTAGTAAATGGTACAATGTATGTTTCTCATTACTGGCAGTATGGTAGTATTTAAGTGATGGGACCTATCAACATAGCCTTGTATTATAAACAGTTTGGTATCACATCAAAAGTTACTGATGAGGAGTTTGCGGGACCAAGGTCCAAATAAAACAAAAAAAGGATTGTCCATCTCAGACAATTTGCTAATCTTGTTTCACAGAAAATGTGCAGTTAGGAGCATTCTTTTCTTCATTTTGACCGTTATTTAATGATTCAGCAATTCTGTTGAATACAATCACCTGTGAAAGATCATTCTTATATATTTACTATGAGAGTAAGACTGACATGAAAAGAAAATGTAAAACAACCAGCTGAAACTTTACTGAATTACTGATTAACACTGTTAGCTCTGGTCATCAAGTCTATAGCTACTCTTAATATACAGTACTTCTACTATTATG